TACCTGGCCATGCAAATGAGGATGCCGGGGGGCTATAAGAAGGCCGCGGGGGTGGGGGGCCCCCAGCGGGCCGGGGAGCGCCATGGCCTCGTCCTTCGCTCGGCCGCGCAGCGGTTCCCTGTCCGCGGGCACCTTGCGCCTCCTCCCGGGCTCCTCCGGCGGCTCGCTGCGCGGCAGCTCCGGCGGCTCGGACTCCTGGTTCTCCCTGTCCCGCCTCCACGCGGCGCTGCCTGCGGCGCGAGCCAGCCTCGGCCAGGGCGGCGGGGACCCGGTCTTGCTGGGCCCGGGCCGGCAGCAGGAGGCGCTGCAGAGCTTGAACGAGCGCCTGGCGGGCTACTTGCAGCGCGTGCGGGGGTTGGAGGCGGCCAACCGGGCCCTGGAGGAGGAGATCGCCGCCACCCGGGCGCGCAGGGCCGGGGCGGTCGGCCACAAGGACTGGGAGGCCTGCGAGCGGCCCCTGGCCGAACTGCGCAAGCAGGTGAGCGGCTCCGATCGCCCCTGGGGACGGTAGAGGCACGGTTGGGGCATAGGAGGTGTAAACTTTGGGGGTGCTGAGGGGCTCAAGCACACACACACCCCAATCTGTGCCAGGCAATATTGACAGACTCAAGTAAAATGGATGGCAGCCAATGCTCCCCCTAAGGCGTGGAGTCTTGTGAGCAAAAATGCTACTTGGTGAGCTCCTGGCATTCAAGCTGTGAACTAGAGATTTGGCTCCTGCATCAATCAGTCTGCTCTGGAGCCATCCTTCCTGGGGTAAGGCAAAAATGTGTGAGCCGGGAGGGAGCCTCAAAAACGGTGAGCTAGCTCACACTCACTCAGCTTAGAGGGAACACCGATATTGGCAGCTGAAGCCCAAGACTGCCCACCTTTCCTGTTGTATCCTATCACAATTTCCAGGATTCTGTGGGGCTTTGTTCCTCTCTGCTAGTATGTATTTGTGTGTTTATTAAGAATTTATAATTAAAAAAGGAGTAACCGTTTATATAAACAATTTACAAATGTTTACTCTGCTCCTGCAGAGGGCAGGGGACTGGACTTGCAAGATCCCTTCCAACTCCAGCATTCTATGAGTCTATGATATATGTTGCAGAAGAATTAGGAGACTCTGAAGGAAGATCTATGATTTTGAAAATGAGACTTCCAGAAGGCAAGATTTACACACTAGCAACAATATATTCTCCAAACAATGCAGGAGAAAAAAATTATGAAAATGTTTTCCAGTTTGTTTTAGATTTTCAAGAAAGAGAGATAATGTTCATCGGAGACATGAATGGGGCAATGGATAAAAAATGGGTGTGTGTGGGGGGGGAACCAAAGTAGGCAAACTTCCCAAAAATGTGTTTATATGGAAATGTTACAGTTGGAAGATGCTTGGAGGATCAAAAATCCAAATACTAGCAACTATACCTTTTTTCTGACAGACACCATACATATTCAAGGATTGATATGTGCTGGATATTTAAAAAAACCCCTTAGTTATTAATCTAGAGAGTGCAAAGTAAAGGTAAAGGTTTCCCTTGCTCGAAAGCCAGTCGAATCCGACTCTAGGGTTGCGGTGCTCATCTCCGTTTCAAAGCCGAAGAGCCAGCGCTGTCCGAAGACGTTTCTGTGGTCATGTGGCCGGCATGACTAAACACCAAGGCACACGGAACGCTGTTAGAGAGTGCAAAGACACAACCAAAAATCTTTGCAGATCTCTTAGTAGTAACTTGGCAACAAAGTCCCAAGGCATGAGCAAAATGGAAAAGTTTGCCATAGGAGAGGATGATAGTACATACATTCAAAACTTTTACGAAACTGACTTGGATGCTGCCAGACTACAGCTTCATCGTGATATGTTTTTGAATATTGCAAGGGAGCAGAAGGTTAAACTTTTAGCTTTGTGATGTGATGGATCTATTCAGTGGAGAACAAGGAAGAAGTCCGCATCAGCTTCTACCAGAATTAGCTAAAATGATCAGAATAGGTCTTACCGTACCTGCTTCCTCCTGCCCCTCAGAATGGTCATTCTCGTGCCTTCCTAGAATAAAGACCTTTCTGCAGTCAAGCATGAGACTGGCAAGGCTGAATCACATGGCTCTTCTTCATGGACAGAATCAGATCTCTCAAGAAACTGATCTTAATGTTATAGCTAATGAATTCATTTAAATAACATCAATTAGAACAAACACATTCAGAGTCATTTAAGTACAGGGTTTTAAAATTGTTATATCTTAACAAGTGGGTTGTACTTAGATGAGGCTATTTGTGTAGGTTTGCCACTAATCATACCAACACATGCCAACCATTGGGGAGGGGAGGTGAAGGGAAATTGGGAAGGATAGGTGGGATATGGCATGAGAGAATGCTTGCGGGAGCAGGAGAAGGGGTAATAGGGGATTCAGAGAATATTTGATTTGATTGTAATTTTTAAAAAATGTAAAAAATAAACCAATTTGCATTGTTAATTAAAAGTTGTATTTCAGCTGTCTGAAGATCATTTATTGAAGCCAAATGTGTTTTGCAAGTTGAAGGTAAAGAGCAGATATTAACCATGCACAAAACTGTAGTCATTTCCCATAAACTTAATTATGTGATTGTTATTAATAATTTGTTTCTGGAGTTTCTAAGCAGTGTGCTAAGATGGCAAGGTATATAAAATCCTAGGTGGCATTATGTGATTGTTATTAATAATTTGTTTCTGGAGTTTCTAAGCAGTGTGCTAAGATGGCAAGGTATATAAAATCCTAGGTGGCATAACTGTTTTCTTTGGGGTCATAGCTATGAGCACTGTTCTGAATTGCCTCAAAATGGACTTGTGCTCACTTGTAGGATATGAGTTTGAAGTCAGAAGAAGATTGCTGCTACTCTGAACTCTGTACATTGCTCAGAAATCGAGTGCACAGCAACTGCTTTGTATTCTGCCCTGGCTCAGAGACTTCAGCCATGCATGTAGGCGGAAACAAGACTCCTGTAAATGAACATCCAGGAAAACTTTAAAAATGTTCCTCTGCAGGCTTTTCTGTGTTGCCTTTCTTAGGTCCCGGTCACACGTGGCAGAAAACACAGAGGGGAAGCAAGCCTATTTGCGCCGCAGTAATTTGACCGCCACTGCATAATCAGACACAGTGGCAGGGGGAAGGGGGGTGTTTCTTTTCGTCCTTTGCCATGTGTTTCCGGCACGCTTCATTGAGGGATCAGTGACTCAGTCAGAGCGTGCTGGAGCAATCACATGGGAAACTCCGTCTGTGGCCCATCACAACCCATTTGATACTGCACTTTCTCAGGTATTTTTTAACTCCGTGTCTTCGGCAGAGTGAGACAGGTTGCCGATGGGTGCGGGACGCTTCCCAGATGTTTCCGTGTGATCGTTCCCTTAAAATCCGCCCGGCAGTCATGCCTCTTGCGCGGCTACTTCTGCGTGTGAGCGGGACTCAGGTGTCAAATTTGTGACTATCAGTTTGTCCTATGAACATGGTATGTTATCTTTACAGATCTTTTCTAAAAAATTACCCCTGTAAATAATAATCTGTACAGGGCTTTCAGATCTCAAAGGATTGCTGTAGCCACTCGTTCCTGTCCCCAGTGCTGCTAATAAAGAGGAAGAGATTTACTTCCTTGGATTCTGATCTCACCTGGTTGGGTTGCCTGACCAACTTTTTATTTCCTAGGATTTCTGCTTGTATATAATGTTGCTGCATTCATGAATTCTTTTCCCACTGTTGTCTTTCAATGTGCTCTACTAGATAGATGGGTTCTGATGGCAGCAATTGTAAATGTGATAGGGAGAAGTTCCACCAGCCCCGTAGCTAGGGAATTTTTGGAGAGGGGGCCCACCAGCTAATTAAATGAAAGGACAATGCAGGTGGTAAGTTAGAGCACTTTGGGGGCAGCCCGGGAGGGAGGAGGCCAGGAGAAACACTAGGGGCCGAACCCCATGGGCCCCATGTTAGCTACAGGCCAGAGTTCCACCCATTACTATGAAGAAGCCACAGTTGCCTTGGTGCAGTGGCTGATAGCTGATGATACACTACACATGAGGTCAAATGTCTTTCTTGCTTCCCCTGTAAAGCAAACAAGCCACCTCTGGCTCCCCCTGAGAACAAACAACCCCTTTCTAAATTCCCTTTCTTCCTGGTTTCTTTGTCTGTCCAAACAATGCGCAAGAAGGATCTAGACACTCCCTAAATGTAGAGCTAACTTCCTTGAAAGATCACGTAATCCTCCTTTCTGCAATGTACCTGCTTCTCCTACAACAAAAAACAACTGTACGTGGTTCATATTCAGACTCATGATGTTAATGGTTTCCCTGTTCTAGCCTGCAGTCTCTCATATCTGAGAAACTGTATGTGGAAATCAAGCCCTTGGCTTTGTGATTCTGTGCTCTTGGCTTTGTGATTCTAGACCCGACCACTGTACTTTCCCCAACAACAGCGTAAGGCCCTGATTTACCAATCTCTTTCCAGTTCTGGGAAATGCTTCAAATTTCGACCAGTTAGAATGGGAGTCCACAATCATCAATGCTTACTATACCTTTATTCCATATTGCATGCTTGTAGTACGAGAGAGAGAGAGAAAGAGAGAGAGAGAGAGAGAGAATAATAATAATAATAATAATGAAAATAAACAATTGCTTTGGCTGCAAAGAGAAAAGTAGTAGTTAAGTTCTCTTCACTAAGAACAAATATTATGATTATCAATTGATTCATGAATGCTGTGGCTACTGGGCATAACTGAGTTGTAAAAGAAAACAAAAATTATAAGCAGAACCTTTCTGAATTGGGCTTACTTCTGAATAAACAAATCGTAAGATCTTATCTATGGGGATAACCATTAAAGGCCAGTGTTTCAATGTGGCTTTAGTTGATCATCGCAAAGAAATAACTGAGGACCACAAATGATTCTTAGTAATGAACCAGTCTTAACACGTATTTGTTCCTTGTAGTAACAGTTTTTTAAAACTTTCCCATAATTATTTCTCTTAAGTAGTAGACTATGGCTTGACGGCATACTGTTCTGTATGGGGACAAGATGACAGCCTGATGTGGTATATGGTGTAGACCATCCTGATCTGGGATGACAGTTGAGATGTCATATGACATGTCACCAGGTACAGGATTGCATCTAGGTTGCATCAGCCTAAGTGATGTCACCATGAGTCAGCACTGGACTCTGATTGGTGCTGTGTTGTATATATTGTGTACGGTCTGTAAGCAGTTATTCACTCTGGTGAATGGATTTGTACGCGGAGCACTTTGCTGGACTACCTGGTGATTTGGAGTCTATAAGTGCAGCAGGACTGTGTGTAAATATCTCTGTAAATAAAACCACTGTGTATAGTCAGCACCAGCCAACCTGGTTTGTGTATTTACTGGCGCTTCCGACACGCTGACATGGCTTTCCATCCAGTTGGTAGTAGGATGGTCATCAGCCCTGTGTGTGTGTGTGTGTGGTAGTGTCCTGCCCCTTTAATAGAGGTTTAATGTGTGGGAAAAG